ATTGGAACTTTTAAAACTGTTAGAAGTACATGAGAAAGGACTTAGGAATTTGGGAGTATAATCAATATTCCTAGGTACTTATTGTGAATTAAAAGTTCACAGTACAAATTTTGAGGAACAAGGGTAAGAAGTCAGAACAAAAGGGGGAAAATTCCCTTGATTAAAAGACTATAAGTCATGGAGAAATTACTGGTTTGGGGCCACAGGATCCTCACACACTGTTGATGATCTTCTTTTTGATAAAAGGATGGTAAACACCATAGAAAGTGAACAACCAAACCTATTAAAAGGCTAAGTGGAATAATTCTCTAAACCAGAAGTCTGCAAACTTCTGTAAAAGGCCAGATACCAAATATGAAGCTTTGCAGGCCAGATGGTTTCTGTCTCAACTATTTAACTCTGTCTTTGCAGAGCAGAAGCAGGCAGAGACAATGCTGTAAACAAATGGGCATTGCTGTGCCCCAATAAACTTTCTTTGCGAAAATAAGCAGGTGGATAGGATTCAGCCTACAGGCTGTAGTTTGCTGACCACCTGCTGTAAACTACCAGCATTTTTTCTAGGTGATAGTCCCACCTGAGGACAGGCCCTAGGTCAAATTCTTAGACTCCATATTTATTTGCTGTCCGTTTATCACCCTCAACTTTCCAGTTTCCTTCTCCTTTTCTTTGTTTTCCTCCCTCCGCCCTCACCACAAGTCTGGAATTCTAGAATTCTTGGGCGGCCCCTTCTCAGAAACCCCGACTGGCTCTATGGAAAGAAAGTAGGCCTTAATGAGGCACAATCATAAAATGGTTGTTAGGAGCTTATTATGTTTAAGAGAGAAAATATTTAGGGTGACTGCTTAATCCAGATATCATTACTGGGCGTAGTGGGATTCACTATAGGGGAGATCTTTGGACGGCCTCCAACATACCAGATAAGAAATAAGCTAATGGCTACCACCTGACTCACATACCACTTGACTCACATAATGGTCACTTTTCTTAAAACCCTTTTATACATAAACAGTAAGGGCTCAACTAAAAAGCAAATTACACAATAGAGTCAGCAGATGGGCAGCTTTCTTACAAATCCTGGCTGGTGATATTACTAGAAAGACATGTCATTTGAAAAAATAAAGGAAAATTGCAGAATTTCTTATAACTCATCTTTCACAGTTAAGAGCAGGAAAAAGTCTAAATTTTAGAAAAAAAGTTAATTACATGTCAAGAGCCACGATTTCCTGGGCAAAAGTTGTAAAACTGGTATGATGCCACAAGGTAGACACAAAAGGTGAGGAAAGGAATGTTAGATGATGGCTTCAGGTGATGATCTACTGGTGATGACTGTAGGTAACTGTTTCCATCAGGGGGACCATAGGAAACAAATGGCACATTTAAACTGGGCAATTGTAGGAGGGTTTAACAAAGGAACTATAGGGAAATTGATAATCATATAATTTATCGTTTAAATTGTGCCACTTTTGAGGGTATGAGGAAGATTTATTAATTAATTATGCCAAGACAATGGGTATAAACTGGGCCTAGCCCAGCCAAATCATAACATTTCAAATAGAGCAGTACCTCAGGGCTAACAAGAATAAGAGCTATTATCACCCCTAGATCTAAAGAGACAGAGAGAGGGAGGGCATGGTTACCAGAACCTGAAAGGTAGAAAGATGAAAAAGTCAACCAACACAATCTGAGGCCCTCAGGAGAGAAAAGCATCCCACCTATGAGGAGCTAACAGGGATAAAGTGAGTGAATTAAAATCCCACCTTCACTGTCCTCCTACCCTCTGATCTCTTGTCAATAACTCCCATTGGCTGAACCCAGCCAGAAGTCAAGGGAGCCTGTTGATACAGTCCTATGGGTCAGCTTCCCTGATGTACAAAGCAGGATAGGGAAGGGTGAAGAATATATCTGGAGCCTAGTAAATATCCTTGCAAAGGTATCCAACACTGGAACTATCCTTCAGCTCTGACCTCTTTGACAGCATTTTTGAAGCATTCTAAGAAAGCTCAACTTCTACCTTCTTGAATAATCCTCTCCTTGTTCATTTCCTATTAGAGTGTAGAAAACAGTAAAGTAAGTAAGAGCTTTTAACTCCAGTTGGATGAGGTTTACACTGTTTCTCTCCAGAGGAATGAACACAAGCACTAGGTTTTCATGCATGTATTTAGACTTCTTCATTCCCTAATATAAAAATATCTGGCAACATTTCTCGGCCATAGGCTGATTATGCAGGTATAACCAGCCTGGGAATAAAACAAGATAAAAGGGATGTTTTTTTGCATTTGTCACAGGAAACTCCCTCATGTCACTTTCTGGTCTACAAATATCCCCAAAGGATCTTAGAGGAAGTATGGAGTTTGGTGATACCAGTCAATGATTCAGACCGACAGCAAGGCTGCTTGAGTACAAGTATATAATGCAAAATTAATGGACAAAATGGATATATGCTGCAGTTATCACAAATCATACATTGACATTACATACTTCACATTACATAAATACTATACTATGCTGATGAACAATGAAGGTAGAGTATCAAGAAAGAAAGAATGTTCACCACTGCAAAGTGTGGCCCTTCCTTTCTGCATGAGTATATGAAAACAAGAGGAGGAGTAATTATATGACCAGCATCCTGGAGAATCTAGAGTAATTCACTTTACTTCCAGGCCCAAAAGAATACCCATCTGCTGGGGAAAGTCCATTGTCACACATCTTAAAATACTACCAAGTTTGGTGTTATCCACTTTTCTTACTCCATAGAGGGAGATCTCTCCCATTTCATCAATAACATATCTGATAACGCTTCCTTTTTTTTTTTTTTTTTTTTTTTTTTTTGAAGTACGCGGGCCTCTCATTGTTGTGGCCTCTCCCGTTGCGCAGCACAGGCTCCGGACGCGCAGGCTCAGCAGCCATGGCTCACGGGCCCAGCCTCTCCACGGCACATGGGATCCTCCCAGACCAGGGCACGAACCCGTGTCCCCTGCATCCGCAGGCGGACTCCCAACCACTGCGCCACCAGGAAAGCCCACTTCCATTTTTTAAAGTCCAATGACACTATGATTTAATAAGGTAAAAAAAAAAAAAAAAATAGTACCCTTTTTTCCTAACAACTTGGATCTACTTCAAACACAAACCGAATTTCCCATGAGGACTAGCTACTTTAAATACTCTGGATAGTTAAAAGAAGAGGAGGAAAGAAGTAAATTTAAAAGATGGGAGGGAAAAAATAAGGGAATGAAAAAGAAAGGGAACTATTAATAAAATAAGAAATAAAAAATTAAGGAAATAAATAAATGACACCTTTTTAGTGAGGGTAGGAGAAAAGAGAGCTGGGTTCTGGGTCATTTTCTGGCCCATCTCATGGGTGAGAGTATTACCTAAGTTCTCTGAGTAATCACACAGTGCTACAAATCATATCACTTTCCTACCACATGGAAGATACCATTCTTGACCTAACCTAGGATTTCCCAAACTATACAAGAAGCTACTATTCACATCTTTAGCATTTGACCAAATGGAAAGAGAGAAAACGCTCTTCAGCCCGCTAAGAATTTTCAGAGATGCCCTTACCTGAATGGTTGCCCCAAGCAAGGCCTAAGTGGATTCTAGGAGTACAGTAGCAAAAATTTATAAAGAGAAATCTTTATAGAGAGCTTCTTTCAATAGGAAATGATTTACTTCCTGACAATGATCTTAAAAGAAGATGAATATATACTTCAACTTATTGAGAATTTGAGTATATATTATGTAGCACATAAGCTGAGCCCTACAGTGCTAACTATGATGATAATAGGCATAAGAAAAATTGGCTTCGCCTAATGAACTTGTAGAGTATATCATATTCTCTCCTTTGCAATGGTTGTTTGGAAGATCAGAATTCACCTTTGAACTTGTCTTAATTCTTCATTTCTTAATAATATTCTTCTATGGCCTTCCCTGTACATGAGCCTCACCTTCCTTATTTCTTGGTACCTTTCCTCTGTCTTATCTTGACTGTTTTTTTACCTTCTAGTACCAATGCATTTACAGCAAGCCACTTCAAATGTTTTTGGAAAAAATTAAATTGATATGGAACAAATCAATTATTATAAAACATTCCCTGCTTCTAACGAATGCACAGTCTAGTAAAAATATAAGGCTGAAAAACATTATTGATATATTATATAATAAATGGAGGTCATAAGAGGGAAGCCCAAAATAAATATGGCTTAAAGGAAAGTGAGGTCACATCCAGGTAAGAGACCACTTTTGGAGGAGATGTCCAGTGAAATTAGCAATGAATAACAGGAGAATGCCTACACCTGAGGATGTGAGGCTGGGAAGAAGAAAGCTAAGGACACCTTTAGAGCATATTACCTTCAGCTGCTATTTGGCAGAAGCCTAGGAGAATAAAGGAGACAAGGCTGGAAAGACAGCTTGGAGCCAGGTGGGGAAGGATGACTGTAAATGTCAAGGCAACCGGGGTTTACCAAGAGTTTTTGAGCAGAAAAGTGATATGATTGAAGCGATAGATAAGGAAATTGGGGTCTCCAGGCACAAGTGTTTAGCAGTGTTTAACAGGCAAAGAGACATCTTCCAGGATGTCTGAGGAGGGAGGGGAACACTGTCTGCCCTATCTCAACAAAACCCGCCATAGACGCAGTTTTAAAGGAAGAAACAAAGGAAGGGAGGCAGCTCGGTTACACCGTAGAACAGCGGTCCCCAACTATTTTGGCACCAGGGACTGGTTTCGTGGAACAACAATTTTTGCACAGATTGGGGGAGGGGATGGTTTCAGGACTATTCAAGCGCATTACATTTATTGTGCACTTTATTTCTATTATTACATTGTAATATATAATGCAATAATTATACAACTCACCATAATGCTGACACGAGGCAGAGCTCAGGCCATAATGTGAGCGGGGGCGGGCAGCTGTAAATACAGATGAAGCTTCGCTCCCCAGCCCACCACTCACCTCCTGATGAGCAGCGGGTTCCTAACAGGCCATGGACCGCTACCAGCCATGGCCAGGGGCGTTGGGGACCCCTGCCCTAGAAGAATGCAAGTGGAACCTGGGCAAAAGCTGCTTTCCTCTGCCCCTGCCCCCTCAGCATATCCCAACCCAGTGAAGAAATCTGTGTCTCAGGATCCTGTCCGCCTACCCAATCTCCAGCAGCCGATCAGAAACACCTCTCATGTCATAGCAGATGAATCAGGCTTTGGCATCATCCCACAAGACCCTGAAAAGTTGGTGATGCGGAGAGAGAGAGGCGGAGGAATTCTCTTCAAAGGATACTGCCAAGACATTAAATCCTAAACTTGGAGGGTTCCAGAAAAGCCCATCTTTGAAGTCAGCGGTGAATCAGCGGCTGTCCTACACTCCTATTAGCGCCACAACCTTTACCCCCAGGCATTAACGAGCGAATTGGGTCCAGCTGTACCGGTACAGCTGTGGAGCGCCTTCTATAAAAAAAGTTCACTTCTGGCTCGCGTCCTCACCCCACCCACCACCCCGATTCCGTACTTTTCCTGCTTCGCTCGCCACCCCCTGATGTTCCCAGGCTCGGCGTGGCCTGTGACATTTGCTAGTACTCACGTGGGGCGCCCTGTCTCGGCGGCTCCGGAGATGACTCCTAGGAACTTCCCAAGGACCTGGACTCAGCAGGCTCTGACATGCAAGGGGGTTGGGGGATGGAAGGGGGGAAAGAGGGGAGTTGGGTGTCAGGAAAGCCCGGGGCAGTGCGGGCCAATCTCGTCCGGAGAGGGGTTCATCCCCCAGCAGCCCCGTCGGTTTGGGTCTTCCTTCCCTTCAACTCCCTGTTGGCGCTGTCAGAGCACAGAAGGCGACTAGGCATCCTCTAGGGCGCTCTCCCTAACTCACTTCGCTGCGTTTAAACTCCGTTTTCTGAATTCACACGAGTTTGCGAGAGCAAATCCAAGCCCGCCATCTCGTTGCTTCTCCCGTCCCTAAAACAGGTGCCGGAGCTCAGGCCCCAGCTGACCGAAATTGTCCAGGCTACGCAGCGTAGGGCTAAGGCTCGGCGCCGGGCGCACGAATTGTGCGAGCCTCCGGGCGAGCTGCGCGCTGGACAGCACCTTGCCCCGCGTGCTCCGCTGCGCACTGCGCCGTGCGGTCTGCCGGGATCCTGGCGTCTAGGGTTCCAGTTCCTAAACGCTGCCCTGAAGAGCGGGGCTGTGAAGGTGACAGGACCGTGGACTTTGTGGGTTTAAAAGTTCTTGAGGGGCTTCCCTGGTGGCACAGTGGTTGGGAGTCCGCTTGCCGATTCAGGGGACACGGGTTCGTGACCCGGTCCGGAGGGATCCCACATGCCGCGGAGCGGCTGGGCCCGTGAGCCATGGCTGCTGAGCCTGCGCGTCCGGAGCCTGTGCTCTGCAGCGGGAGAGGCCACAAGGGTGGGAGGACTGTGTATCGCAAAAAAAAAAAAAAAAAAGTTCATGACACCTACAGAACTTGCTAGAGGGACTGCAGCCCCTAAGGTGCCCCCAGTCACCCATGAGTGGCACTTTCACGAAGTTGGTAAGTGCTTTGGAAAGTAAGTTTTTTGAGGGTGAGGCCCATCAGATCTTTTCACACCCATTTCAATTTCTTATTGTCCCTGCCCGTCTGTTTAACAAAAAAAAAAAAAAAAAAAAAAAGTTCTTGACACCTACAGAACTTGCTAGAGGGACTGCAGCCCCTAAGGTGCCCCCAGTCACCCATGAGTGGCACTTTCACGAAGTTGGTAAGTGCTTTGGAAAGTAAGTTTTTTGAGGGTGAGGCCCATCAGATCTTTTCACACCCATTTCAATTTCTTATTGTCCCTGCCCCTATGGTTCTGGTCACTAATGCATATTTAATGCCTTTATCTGGAAGTGCAGTCCAAACCTGAAGCTGCATCCACCCTCCAAAGTATCCCATTGAGTACATGTGTTTTCTCAGTAGCCACAGGGAAGGAAAAGCACTAGTTGGAGGTGGCCAAAGGAAATGCTCAGAGTGTACAGCATGCAGGAGCAGCGGTACCTACTTTTTACAGTGATTACTTTTGGGGTGTTTTTCCCAAGAAAGGGGTTTGGCCTTAGAACCAGCCCTGTAGGAGAAAGATGTGGTTATCTCTTTCTTAAAGCACATTCAGGCACATATCAAAGGTTTAGGGCAAAGATAAAAGGAGGAAGGTGAGGGAAATTCTGATGATTTTACTAATGTTAAAATTCCATAGATTCGGCTAGGCTATTTTTTCTTTCATGTCATCAATTTAGAATTCTATAAAGGAAAAGAATGACAACAAGGAAAATCATTGGCCTAGGAGAAAAGAGCCCGTAGGCGTTTAGGTGTTATATATGTGGAGCCAGAAAGCTCTAGAGCATCAGGGAGGCTCCAACCTAAGGCAACAATATGGGTGAATATGGGCTTCATGTGCACTGGGAATGAGAGGCAACAAGTGGTGCCTGGGCACCTACCCCTAAGGCAGGCCCTGCAGCTCTAGAAGCAATTCAGTGCTGGTGGAAAGAGTTTACTGTGAAACTGGGGTGGGATTGGGTTTCCAAGTGCATTGCCTGATACCTTATTATTTGTTCAGTTTTTTTCAGGAAGATCTTCATCTTGCAACTGGTAGAGCTCGTGCTAACCTACAATTTTACTGACTGTGACTTTAAGAATATTAAAGATATTTACCAGGACATCATTCATCCAGAACTGAATGTATATATAAATGGGGTAAGTGAAGAAACTTTTTTGAAATGTATTTTTATTGTAAGAGTAGGCACACACACACACTACAATTTAACTTTCAAGGAAAGAAAAATAATTTGGAAAATAATCATGGCCCAGCATTTTGTCAAAATAAATTTACAAGTGGTACTGAAATATATTGGCTTCAAAACTGACTACCTAGAAATTGGCACACTAATTAATGTGCAGATGCTGATGACAAGCAGATATTGATAGGTGTCCAACAAGGTTTTCTACTCTCTGTTAAATCCTCCTCACTAGTGGGGGGGGGAAAAAAAAGACAGTGATTAAGGGCTTGAGAAAGAAAGAGAAAGAGAGGAGGGAATTCTTGTGAGCTAAGCCCTACCCAGTGAGGATAGCCTGGTAGAATGTGCGCTTCAGGTCTTTCTAGTTTTCTAGATGCTTTAGGATGCCATTGTGAGATAAAGGTACTTCAGATTGTTTAATATACAGTAGTAATCATTTCCCTGATTATTCTAGTTTCTGGATAGAGCATGTATGTGTGAAATGTATGAAGATCTCCCTCTAGGACAGGATCATTCGATATCCAGTTTCAAACACTAGCAGGCACTGTCTGAAGACCCTATATCTTTCACTACCTTGTCAAACACAGAAACAGATGCAAAGGAAACACGTGCCTAAATGGAAACTGCTTTCAGAGCATCTTTAAAACCTGGGAACAATGGAAGGGGGTGGGGCGATGATTACTCCCGTGAATTTAAGTCTTGACCCTCTTTGTCATGTGCTATTTTTTCTTTCTTCCAGACGAAGAGTATCAGGTTTAACAAGTTCGTCTACTGTGAAGATGCGGTGAGTAAGTGGTTAGTGCTTCTGGCTTTCTCCAGAGAGACGCCAGGCATCCCGGGGAGGAGGTATCCTGCTGTGCGTAGAACCCCAGGTGGTGGCTGGGCTCCCAGGTGGCGCTGACCCAGTAGGGACGTCTGGGCTGCGGGAAACCTCTGCGCCTTTGCCCAGCTTGAGACGCCACTTCTGTTCCAATATAGGGTGAGGAAGTCTGTCGGATCTGAGCGGGATTCCGGGAGAGGCTCCTCCTACCCCTCGCCCTAGGGAGGAAAGGAAAATTGGGAACGGGGACCAGGGAACGACGTCAGGGGCAGCCCTTGCGGGGTGCGAGCCTCCGCTCTCAGCGCTGCCCCTCGGACCTGCAGACGTGGGCGGAGCGAGAGTGGCGCGAGTCCTTTCTCCCTAAGCGCCCTCTGCAATCTAACACCCCTCCTTCCTTCGCCTTCCTTGGGCTCTTTCTCCTCTGCTCACCCTAGACCTCTTTCCTCCTGCTCGAATCGCCTTTGTAGTGTCTCCCGCTCCTCTCCCTCCCCCCGCCCCCGTTGCCCCTTTCACTCACGTCTTATCAACTCTCTTTTTTTTTTCTCCCTGGCGTTTTCTTCCTTTCTCGTAAATTTTGCCGCCTGCGAGCAGCCGGATTGCCTCATTAAAATCGAGCACTTTACCTTTAAACCCATCTACGGCTGCGCCTCACTTGCCAAGGAAACCTTCGCCAAGCAAACTAATGCTACGCTCTCCCTCGGGTGCTCAGGCTACTCCGGAATTCAGGTAAACCGATGCATCCGAAGGTCGCATTTTAATATCTTGGAGGTAACCTTGAATTCAAGTAGGGCTTCCGTGCTGAGTTGTGATTTTTATTTAGGTTCTGTCTTTCGAAGGGCAAATGAGCGGGTAAAACCTGTAGATTGTCGGTTAGTCCCACGTTGACAACTGGATTGAAATCCATCTGTTTCTAGGGTTCTGATTCTTTTGGCAGAATTGTGTTCTAAACCTTAGGCCAGTATTTCAAAGTATGATCACTGAGCTTCCTACATCAGAATGTCCTGGCTTCTCGAGCATGGGAGAGTGGTTGTCCAAAAGCCAATTCCCAGGGACCCAGGCTAGACCTTCAAAATCACAGTCCCCGTGTAGGGGCTCTTTATGAGATTCTTATCCATTCCAAAGTATTATGAGCAGCATTGCTTGGGCTTATCATTTAATAATTGTATACGTCTTTCTTTAAATGTTAACTTATACATTAAATCTCTACCCCATGTTTGCGTAATTGCTTGTATGGGTGCTATTGCTCTCTCTTTACATAATGGATCTTTTGCATATGCAGTTACTGTGCGTTTGAATGAATGTGTAACTTTAAATATGGAAACAGTGCAGAGCTAGGGGCAGGAAGTCTGGGCACAGTCCTGCCTGATTTTGAATCCTAGCCCCATAACTTCTGTGAAAATTTGGATAAATTACTTAGCCTCTGTGTGTTCAGTTTCATCTGCAAAATGAGGATCATACTAGCAAGTCCCATATAGAGTGTTTATGAGGATTAAATGAGTCAAAATATGTAAAAGCACTTGGAACGGTGCCTGGTATGTAACAAGTTCTCGATAAATAATTTCTTCAGCAGGCAAGTAAAGCAGGGAATTTATCTTCCTGATGACAATTTTTAAAAAGACAAAAAGAGACAGTGCAGATTTGTATGACTGCGGCCTATTAACCGGTGGACTTTATCAGTCTGCACACTGAGTGTCTGGGTGACCAAGGCTGTTAGTTTTTAGGGACTGAAGATTGAAGCCATAGGGTTCTAGACTTAGCTTGAGTTGGATCTTTAATACCAGGCAGCCATGTGAAAAACCTTTTTGGCTCTATATCTTCTCCTAAGGAGACTGACAAATCTACAGATGGCCACAGTGATGTTCATCCATATAAGAAGAGCATAGGCTAGATAAGTTTGGACAACATGTGAAAAAGGGAACGTCTGGAGTGATTTATTTCAGCCCTCTCCCAAGCCCAAAGGGAGAGAGCCTAAAACCAATAATATTTAATTATGATTTAGCAGACTGTAGATGGTAAGCCTTTGTAACCATGCTTTGTAACCTGGTGAACTTTATTGGTCTGAATACTGTGTGTCTAGGAGGCCCAGTCAGTCACTACTTGAGAGTAATTCAGGTGAAGGAATATATCAGATGATTGCAATCTTTTTTTGACAGTTAGACTCCTCTTCAGAATAAGCCTTCAGGTGTCTGTAGCACATCTAGGAGGTTGGGAGGGACAGAAGGTGGGAGTACTTTGGGTACAAATAATAGGTCTACTGAATTGTATTTATAAAGAGGCATGAGATGACTCCTTTACTTGAGGAATTTATGATCTTGTCAGGGAGATCATGAAATCATCAGCTATTTATCAATTTAATCATTCAATAAATAGTCAGTGTTTCTTATCTATAAGGCATTGTGCTCAGTGCTACAGGGAATACCCATGATAAAACAGTAGGTAATTGAGAGCCAAGTTAAGTGAAAAACACTCTGAAGCACTAGAAGAATTTCCAAAAGAAATGTCTGAGCAATTAGCAGAGGGCTTGTGAAGGAGGTGGTGCTTGGCCTTGAAGTATTTGGGTGGAGAGACAGGAGTGCATTCTTCTGGAGAGAGCACATAGGAGCAGTGTGTAGGTGTCTTGGGGGACAGACTGAGAGAGAGATTTGCATAAAGAAGACAAAATAACCAGCCACTCAAAGATAGTGACAATTAATTTTGACTATTGCTTCTCCTATTTCATAGATAAATAATACCCAGACAATGAAGAAAAGAAGGAAAAGAGAAGTCAAAACAGATAAATGCCTAGAACAAGTCTCATATTTGATAGAACTGTGGAGACGTTTCAGCCGCATCTCATAGAAACAAAGTAAACCTTTGGTAAAGTCACATTTCACAGCAACAAAGTTAATCATCTTTATTAGGTAGATGGAACTGTTAACTCTAACTGAGACATTTAAAGGACCACCAATAGTTTTTTTTTTTAATTATAAAAGGGTTTCTTAGGTTATTTTTATAAGCTTTTATTGTTTAACGTAGGTTTATAATATGGGGGAAGTACTGTCCTTCAGATGTCGGAGGAGACATTTTTTTAGCATTCATGCCTGAACCACTGAATTTGTGGCAGTAATTCGCAGCTGGAACTACATGAGCCCTGCTCAAAGAAAGAATCGAAAAGTGTGGTAGAAGGAGAACTTTTTCAAGGAAAAAAAGTTGAACACTATGGCATGTAAACCTCTGTTTAAAAGGGAGACATTTCTTCCATGTGTACTGATACTTCTTGTCTTTTTATACCAAAAATTTACAAAAGAAGAGAATTAAAGAAAAAAGAGTGCACAAAAGTTGTACATATAATGAAGCAATTTGAAATAATTTCCAAGCAAAATATTGTGAAAGTATTCTAAGCCAAATTTTAAAAATTATCTAACAGACAAGAGTAGTGCATGTAAGCCAATCCCAAAGAAGTGCCTTTGTTAGAGCTTAAATATATATATATTTTAAATTTATGGAGTGTATCTTTAATTTATTTTGTAAGCAGTTTTTTAAATGTACATATTACTTTGTTAATGACACTATATTTTTCTTAATAAAATAATTCGCAAATTCATTCCTTATGAATGATCTTTTTAATGTAGTAGACAATTTTCACATACATACTTTTCTGAGGGGCATCACTTTTCTACAGTTCTTTCCCTCCCCTCATCCTTGGAGCCACTGACCACTCCCCTTCTGCACTGTGCCTGTTGACCCTACCTATAGAGAGAATATTTGGGGATAGGTGGTTTCAGGATACTTTCCAATCATCCTTTTCTTGAATTTTTTTTGATGCCTAACCTTCAAAATAGGCATCTCAATAGGCAGTTAAAGTCATCTGTCTATGTTCTTTGTTTTAAAAAAGTTCCTTTAACTTTGTAGAACTGAATCTCCATTTTCTTATTATAGTCATATCAAAATAAAGGTCGGGGGAAATTTCTCAAATGCTTTACTGATTTAAAAATATATAGTCTCTATCATCCCTCAAATCTGTAAATCAAATAAACTTATCCAAAACATTAAAGTTGTTTTTTAATATCTCAATTGTATTTCTTTCTAAATCTTACAAACCAACTGTCTGAGAATTATACCAGAGAATAATAATGAGCTGATCTGGATTTTTTACTGTTCCTTTCCATTATTCAAAAGTTTTAACTTTTTTTTTTTTCGCGGGCCTCTCACTGCCGTGGCCTCTCCCGTTGCAGAGCACAGGCTCTGGACCCGCAGGCTCAGTGGCCATGGCTCACGGGCCCAGCCACTCCGCGGCATGTGGGATCTTCCCAGAATGGGGCACGAACCCGCGTCCCCTGCATCAGCAGGCAGACTCTCAACCACTGCGCCACCAGGGAAGCCCCAAAAGTTTTAACTTTTTTCAAATGTTTTTGTTCTAGCTAGCATTATACTTTTTGAATACAGCTATGCTTTTTGACATCCATTGTTTATAGAATATCAACTAATAAAGTTTCACTGATTGCTATTATCTAAAATTATTTATGCCTAAACCTAAGGATAATGGTTTATGCATGAGGATAATAGCTAATTAACTTTCTTGAGTCTCAGATTCTACACCTCTAAAAGAAGGATGATGTTGCCTACATCATAGGATTATTATGAGAATTAAAATACACAATAAATATAAAGCCCTTGGCAAATAGTAAGAAAAATATTTTAAATTTAGCTGTTTAAATACCTGTTTCATTATAAAGATGAGAAATAAGGGTTGTTACAGAGTCTGGTAAATCTCTTTTTAGTTTTTAATTTTCTGTCTAAGACTGCTTTGTAGTAGTGGAAAGAAGGTTGGAAAGTTTAATCACACAATTGTTGACAGCTTGGCAATTTTGTACTTAAAATTTTTGTTTGAAGATTTTTCTTTCTGGCTAAGATGGAATAACAGGGTCTGGATTTACCTTCCTGCCTGAAACAACCTCCCCCAACCCAACACACACACACACCCCAAGGAAAAATACACATACAAAATATATAGAGCAGTGGTTTTCAAAACACTGGATATCAAGTAATAAAGGACAATAATGCTGAAAGAAGGGAAACAAATGAGGTGAGCCTTACAGTTACCCCAGCTTACTGGCTTGACTTTCCTGACCATGGCTCAGGGAGGGGACTCAGGCAGAGCCAGCAGGCTTCCTGAGTTGAGGAGACAGGCTGAGAGTCCAGAGAGACCAAGGCGGTAGAGTTCATATGACAGAGTACCAAGGGAGAGAGAGGCACACAGCGGAGGAAACCTGGAGACCTGCTGAATAATCTAGGGCAGCGCTCCCCAATCTTTTTGACACCAGGGACCAGTTTCGTGGAAGACAGTTTTTCCGGGGGTGTGTGGGGTGGTTCAGGCAGTAATGCGAGCAATGGGGAGCGGCAGACCAAGCTTCTCTCACCCGCCGCTCACCTCTTACCGCGCGGCCCGGTTCCTAACAGGCTGCGGACCGGTACCAGTCTGCGGCCCGAGGGTTGGGGACCCCTCCTCCAGGGCGTCCCTAGAGTATTCAGGAGAGTACTGACCAGCACGTGTGTCCTCATGGGCACTGTGAGAAAACTGCGCAAGACTGGGCAAAGAATCTTCTGAAAAATCAGAGAATAGTGCCCAGTTCTCACTCAGGGCCAGAAAGATTCCTATTCCCACCAGCCAGACAGAAAAATCTCAATTCCTTAGGCATTGGGTAGGGTGCTTGGAAGGGTCTTATCTCACGAATGGAGAATAATTAGCCCAAGCCTAAGTGCTGCAGTGATCCCACCTAACAAATCTTAAAAGCAAGACTTGAAAGGATCAGTGTCCAAGTAACTTAGCTGCATTCCATAACAAACCTCAAGAATATTTATAGAAATAAAAAAGGTCCATCAAGGCAAAATTCACAATGTTTGGCATGCAATTTATCAGACACGAGGATGTAGGGAATTTCAAAGGAAAAATTTCTGTCACTACTATAAATGGAAATCCAGTGTTGCTTGCCCCAAGCAAGCAGGCAAGAACATTAAAGCAATTTTTTGTAACTATTTTCAATAGGTCCAAAAATTTAAATAGAGACAATGAAGATATAAATAAGACCCGAGTTCAACTTCTAGCGATGAAAACTGCAATGTGTGAGATGAAAAATACAGTGATGGCATTAATGGTAGATTAGATATTGCAGAAGAAAAGATCAGTCAACTTGAAGACATGCCAGTGGAGACTATCCAAAGTAAAACACAGATAGAAAAAATAATTTAGAAATGAAGAGACCATCAGTGAGCTGTAAAACAACTGCAAGTGCCTAATGTATGTATAATCAGATTCTCTTAAGGAGTGAACTGTACAGGTGCAAAAAATATACAGAAAGAAACAATGGAAATTTCCAAATTTGATAAAGCTATAAACTCACAGCTCCAAAAACTCAATAAGGCATTAAAAAAATCCCCAAAGAAGACTACTCTAAAATTCATCATAATCAAATTGCTTAAAACCAGAAAATCTTAAAAGCAGCCAAAGGAATTAAAAAGGTCTTCAGAATGTCCTTTTAGAACTTCCTCTTTCTTCCTTAGCTCTTTGGTTTTCTCTCTTTGACTATTTCCCCTGTACTTCTTATACATTCTTTCATGTTAAAATCATAATATTGTCTATTAAATAGAAATGAATTTAACATTGGATAGCCTTAATTGCCGATTTCTACGTTAGCTTCTGTTTAAACAGCAAGAGTTGGGAGTATCTTTGTGCTCATTTTCTGCCATTATTGAAGACAAGGATTACCATAAATGAAACAGCTCTTACTGAGTAGCTTTATCATTTACTTTTCTTCTGCCATCTTATTAAATCTTTGCAACAATCCAGTTAGCTAGCCACTATCCGCATTTTGTAGATGCAAGAAAAGACTTAGGGAGTAAAACACCCAAAGTAGCACAACTAGTAAGTGCAGTATCTAGCTGATTCCAAAGTGTGCACTTTTCATTACCTGAGACTGAAACTTGAGGTTTCTAAATAAGAAATAACTTCTACCAAGTAGGAATTGTGCCCCTTACCTAATAGATGTTGTAATTGACTTCTCGACATGCATTATACCACTTCTCAATTAGGCATCCATTTTCCCCATCCAACACAGGGTTTAGGGATTGATCCCAGATTTTGGGGTGAATATTGATTAGTCCACGCCAGTAGGTGGGCCCCAATATTCTTGTTTGGAGTTGATAGAGGTAACTAAGCTAAAATCAAAGAAGCATATGGAATTCTCCCAGTTCAGTTTTGTTAAGGGATAAGCATATCCCACTTTTCATGATGAACAATAAGTGTTAAGTTTTTCTGAGAGCTCTGAAAAATGTTTCTTCACTTTTAAGGACAATAGGATGATAGGCTACCCTTTCTTACAGGATATGAACAAATAAATATGCCACAGCAGTTATAATTGGCAATTATCCTAAGACCTGCTTTGAGATAGTGTGAATGGCAGAGATATAAGATGGGAAGAAGCTGAGGTTTTAAATGCATAATTGAATGGGTGGATCAACCAACCTCAAAGTTTACCTTACCTCTTTATTTCCCTTTGTGTGAGCTAGTTGAGTAAAGGTTTCATTGTTTGTTTTTGTTTTTTCTGAGTGTGTAGTTGTTGTTACTTAATGTTGAAAGCTGCAGTTTATCTGAATGCCAACAAAATCTTATCTCCTCCATAAGATTTCACTCTGAACTTGATCGTGAAATATATGTAAGTTTTTATGTTTTTTCTATAATTTCCTGAAACCGTTGGAAATGTATTAAGATTTTTTTTATCACACTCTACTTAATTTTTGTAAATGTTCAAGGGCATTTAACAAATATGTATTCTGTGTGTAACATATGATAACTATCTTAA